TTATCGTAATATCTTTTTGATTTAAATTTTAAAGCTATTAAACATTCTCTTGCCAATTCTTGAAGATCATGAATATTTGTTATTAATTTGCTTAAATAATTATATGTTTTTTCTTCTTCTTGATCATTATTGACTTGACTGGATGGTTGTGTGGCAATTTTTCCAAACGCCAACTCATATGGAGTATATCCAGTTCCAATTCATGTTTACTTCTGTTATATGAAAATGTGGCGTATTCTAATAATTCATCCCATTCTGTGAATTTATCTACATATTGTTTCAAATATTCAATTAATACTAAATGTGATCTTTCTAAAGCTTCATTTGCTTGTGGATAAAATGCTGTAGTTCTGTATTGTTTAATTCTAAATTTTTTTGCAAATCTCTTCATTAAATTACTCATGAAATTACTTCCTTGATCCGTTAATACAGTTTTAGGAGCCCCAAAGATACAAATAAAATTTTTTAATAATGCATTCGCCACATTCGTTGCAGACATAGATTTTAAAGGAATAGCAAGGGAAAATTTTGTTAAATGATCTTGGATTGTTAGGATATAAAGATTTCCTTGGGTGGTTTCAGGTAACGGTCCAACTATATCCATTGATATCTTTTCGAATGATGAATATGGTGTGTCTGTTATTGTCATTGGTTGTTTTGTTTTTACTCGGACTAGCTTTTTAATTTGACATTGTAAACATTGTTTGATATAATTTTGAATTTCCAATTTGAGATTTTCCCAATAAAAATTTTGTCTAATTCTGTTATAAGTTTTTGTCACTCCTTTATGTCCTCCTATCGTTGATGAATGAACTTCTTCAATTATATCTTTTCTCCTTTTTATTTCTGGAATTTTGACTAGTCCATGACAGATAATTAGTTTAATTGAAAATCCAATTATTGCTTTTCGAATTTAATTAAAAATTTATTCTCATTTATAGTTATCTAATTGTGATGTTTTTGCAATATTTATTATATTCATAGAATTTTTTGTTATAGCTTCACGTAATTTAATTGATAAATTTTGTAATATTTCATCAGTTATTTTTTTCTTAACATTATTTTTACATATGAATATTAAATGTATTTTATTTCCCCTTTTATTTATAATTAAATATCCGGGTTTTATTTTCCTTATATGTGGAATTAAATTTTGAGATCGGAGTTCTTTTGCTCCTTGATCACAAGGTTCTCCGTCTGCCGTTAAGAAATATAAATAATTATCCTTTCTCATAAATATTTGATCACGACTATTAATGATATTTTGTTTTTTAGTTCGTGTAAATATTTGTTTATTAATTAATTCATCTGTTTCGCAGCCTAATTCATTAAACGTTTTATCGATGTCATGTTCATCATTTTCATGTTCATCATTATTACTTTCTTCTTCATCTTCATTATCTTCTTCTTTTTCACTATTATATTTCTCAAATTGGTCTTGATTAATTGTTTCTTCCTCAATTGTTGAATCTTGTTTATTTGATTTAAATTGATCATCTTGATATCTTATTAAATAGTCAAGTATTTATAAAATATTTTGTGGTATGTTTGTTGTCAAATGGGAAAAATTTGTATTATTTAAATCATTATTTTGTTCTGCTGGTTCCTCGTTTATTTCTGAAGTTTCTGTATCCTGATTAAAATACTCTTCTGAAATTAAAAGCTCTATCTGATTATTTAATTGTTCTTGATTGTCTGTTTCATTATTACGTATTTCATTATTATGTATTTCTGCCTGAACTATATGTCTTGTGAATGGTGGTTCCTTTAATTCCCTTTTTGTAAATGGAATGCTTTCTCCTTCTGATTTTTCTGAGTTACGTGTTGTCATACGTTTTACCTCAGATTCTGGTTCCTCAATCATTGAGCCTGTTCGTGGTGAATTTTTTCAGTGGTCTTGGATTCGCATTTCTTTGCCTTGATTCTTCGTCAGATGAACATTTTTGTATTTCATCGTACGTAGGATTCATAGGATAAACAGGTCTGGAAGGATTCCGGGATAGAGCGTCAGCATTTAAATTAACTTTTCTTGGTTTATATATTATTTCATAATTATATTCAGCTAATTTAATTCTCCATCTTACTAAACGTGAACTCGGGTCTTTTACTTTATATAACCAAATATCTCAATGGTTTATGATCAGTTACCAAAATGAATTTTTTTCCGTAAAGATAAGGTCGAAAATGTTATACAGCATATATTATTGATAACAATTCCTTTTCTATCGTTGAATAATTTTTCTCTGAGTCATTTAATACTCGTGAGGCATATCTTATTGGTCGATCTTTTCCTATTTGTCCCTGACTTAAATCCGCACCTATTGCTATTCCTGACGCGTCTGTTGTTAAAAGGAAAGGTTTGGTAAAATCAGGATATTGCAATACTGGTTCTTGACAAAGAGCGTTTTTTAATAATTCAAATGAATTTTGTTCTTTTTCTTTCCATTTGTATTTAATTTCCTTTTTTAACAGATTGGTTAATGGTTTAGCGATTTTTGAAAATCCTTCTATAAATCTTCGATAGTACCCTGCTAGACCAAGAAATTGTTTAATATTTTTAAGATTTTGTGGAACTGGAAAGTTTTTAACGGCTTCCACTTTTGTTAGGTCTGAGCGAATCCCTTCTTTTCCAATTATATGTCCTAAATAAGTTACTTCTTTTCGTAGAAATTCACATTTTTCTGGTTGTAATTTCAAATTTGCCTTTCGTAGTCCGTCGATTAATTTTTCAAATTTTATTGCATGTTCTGTTAATGAACTTAAATATAATACTATATCATTTAAATATACAAAAATTTAATTTCCCTGCATTCCGCTAAATATTATATCCATTAGTCGCTGAAAAGTTGCAAATGCATTTTTAAGTCCAAAAGGCATTCTATCAAAGGGTGCGTTCGGGGAGCGCACTTTTGGCGCTATAAGCGCGCTTCGGCCGTTCGGAGAGCCGCTTCATAGCGTTAATAGTGATCGCGTAACGTCAGTGGTTGCACATTTCAACATCATCATATTCGCTAATTTGTGCTCAGAATTTCGAGGTGAGGCAGCAAATGCTCATAGCGCTGAAAGCGTTCTTAGTTTGTTGCGAACGGTTATTGTCTGGTCTAATTGTACGTTAATTGTACGTTTAATTGTACGTGTTACTTATTTAGGATCAATTATCTTTAATATTTGTTTAAAATGAATATGCAACGCATAATAAGTTTAGAAGACGCGGAGACCGGCTTAATTTATACAACGAGTCTTTCTGTAAGTGATGCGCAGAAAGTAGAAACTGATAAGAATGTTATATTAGGAGTACAAATAAGTTTCCGCCGTTTTCTATCAAAAATTAGGAATTTATTGTGAAAAAACGGTACATTACGTTTTATTCAAAATATTGTCCATCACTAGCCACTACTTTTTCCCATCTTTCTGGCAGTATTCGGATACCACGTCGGAAAAACTCTTCATCTTTTGAGGCTATCCATGAATCGACCCAATTTTTAGTATCTTCATATGATGTAAAGCGCTGCTTAGACAGGCCATGTGCCATCGACCGGAACAAGTGATAATCGGAAGGGGCAATATCTGGTGAATACGGCGGGTGGGGTAGGACTTCCCAATTAGGTGTTTCCAAATAGGTTTTGACCGGTTTTGCAACATGTGGCCGAGCGTTGTCATGTAGGAGAATAATTTTGTCGTGTCTGGAGTAGTAATGGGTGCGTTTTTCCTTGAGTGCTCGGCTCAATCTCATTAATTGTGTTCGGTAGAAAGCTCCAGTAATGGTTTCGCTCGGTTTGAGCAACTCATAATACACGACATCAAGCTGATCCCACCAAATACACAGCATGAGTTTTTTTCCATGAATATTCGGTTTGGCTGTCGATGTTGAAGCATGGCCAGGTGGTACCCATGATTTTCTCTTCTTTGGGTTATCGTAGTGGATCCATTTTTCATCACCAGTGACTATACGATGCAAAAAACCCTTTCTTTTATGTCTGGCAAGCAGCATTTCACACGTGCAAAATCAACGTTCAGCGTCTCTCAGCTTCAGTTCATATGGAACCCAATTTCCTTGTTTTTGAATCATTCCCAATGATTTTAAACGATTTTAAATTGCTTGTTGAGTCACTTCTAATGTAAGTGCAAGTTCTTCTTGCGTTTGGCATGAATCTTCCTCCAATAATGCTTCCAATTCCGTGTCTTCGTACACTTTCGGCCTTCCACTACGTTTTTTGTTTTCCACGTCAAACTCACCGTTTTTAAACTTTTGAAACCACTCCCGATAACTTCTCTCACTTAAAGCAGTCTCACCATATGCTTCTACAAGCAATCGATGCGCCTTAGCTGCAGATTTCTTCAAATTAAAGAAGTAAATTAAAAGTTCCCGCAAATGACGCTTATTCGGCACAAAACTTAACATTTTCGCACGAAAAAAGTTATGTGATGCTGATCGATGCTGAGAGTCACTAATACTTCAAGGTTATGTTGTTACCAGATGTCCAAACTGACGATATTATGTTTTACATCTGACAATTTCAACATAACCTTCTGGTGGGGCCATCTTTTGTCAAACGGCGGAAACTTATTTATACTCCTAATATTTCCGTTATGATATATTCTTAATTCACTTTTATCAATAAATGTATCTCCTAAAAATAGCTTAAAAATCACCGAATTAGTTTAGAAGCCATATTTTAAGTACTTTTGTCGATAAAAATAAGTTGAGAATATGGGCTGTAGTTATTAAAATTTTATTTCTATGTGATTGCAATTAAGCATCTAAATTCATTTAATTACATTTTCTTTTATAGATTATTGGGAATAACTTTATGAGAAACGATTTGTTAAAATGATGTTCCATTTTGTTTCAATGAATCTTTTGTTAGTAGATTATTCCTACAACAAATCATTAGATTGTCTCAGTAGAAAAAAATTTTATTAAACGATATTATGGCTGCATTTTAATATTTATTGCCAGTACTGAAAATTAATAATTCATGTTACATATACTATAGATTTTTAATACTGACAGTAAATATCGAAACGCAGCTTGTATTGTATAATCATTCTAATTAGAAACCATTTCTTGATTTTCATTCTTGCACTGTTACTACTTATTGATATTTCGTTATATTCCTTAGATATAGTTTAGGCTTCTCAAGTTCTAGATTCATTAAAGAGAAGCCAAGGAGATTTACATTCATCAGACTCCACGGTTTCAATGGCATCAACTTCGGGTGCTGAAACCTTTTCATCAGAACAATATAATATAGAAGACTCGGCCTTTAAATGGTCACATTAGGCTATTCTTCTCTTTATTGAAGAGTATAAAAAATGAAAGGAAGACATCACACCGACAATTATCAGTATCGGTCGTTACCGATAAACGTCGGTTGCGTGACCGACAAGAACGATGCACCTATTCTCTACATGGACACTACCGATAATCATCAGTGCAACCGACGAATTTCAATCGTCCGTTGACGTCACAAATGGTCGAGAGACAGTCACGAACAAAAGTGAGGATACATCGTAATTCGACCAATCGCGTAACGAGTCTACGAGAAAGTCCGCGATTTTAAAGTCTTACAAACATAACCGTATTCATATGAGTTATGTAATAGAAAAATAGAGAAGATACAAGACAAAGAGTAAGAAAGCATCATATCAGAGAGTAGAAGTAGGTATGTATATAAATTTTTAATAGTAATCATATATATATATATATATATAATTATATATATATATATAATTATATATATATATAATATATAATAAATATTACATTATGTATATATATATATATATATATACATAATGTAATATTTACCCGCACAGCACAAAATATCCAAAGGACGTACGTAGAACATAGGGGACATCCTTAGAATCTCCTTACGATATCTCCTAGATATCTGTGCTGTGTGGGTATACTAATAAATACTATTCGATAACCTAATAAGGGAATTGTACTATCAATAAACAGTAATATTTTTTGTAGCACTGTTAAAAAGCAGCGTTCTTCGCGTGCATCAACATTGCAAATTGAAGATATCCTATATGGAAAAGCATAGCCGTTTCATCGCCGGCCGATTTAACGGAAATGAGGGGAAACTGCAACTATAGATGCAGTGGGATGAACTGCGTAAAAGGCTACATTCTCTACCCGGGCCAAAGAAGTCGGTCAAGCAGTGGCAAACTGTAAAATATATTTTAAGCTATTTACACATTATATGTTCCAGACATTTTTACCAAGAGAAAACAGATATAATGCAAATGCGATAAGCTATATATAAATAATTGAGATTTTTTAAATTACTTTCCCACCTTGATTTCCGGACATGTATACATTTCGTAGTAAACCCAGTAAATCCCAGTACCTTGATACATGTTAAATAAATTTTATGTAATGTTCTCCCTTATTCAGCTGACATTCTAATATCAATGTTATATAATTGCTTTTTTGTTATATGATTAGTTTACTGGGATACATTTGACTGGGATTTGCATATTGCATTATTATATTTAATATATTGAGGTATGGCGGGATCTGAAGAGCGTTTCCTCGAGGAAAGTAAGCAAGTTAAGAGCTGAGCGCTTACGCACAGGCAATTTTCCAGCTGAAGAAGTCCCATTGCAGAACATTGAACAACGCGTAGTGTCTGCAATTGGTTTAGATTATGTTGAGGGAAATGCGCATTGTCCTGACAGTTGCGTGGAAGAAGATGTACGTATATATGTTCAATGTATCTCTTTAACCATTTAAAATAATTATAATACGTACATAAAGAAACAATTTACGTTATAATAATTGTTTGTTGTAGGAAAATATTGAACGACTTAAGATGGATGACGAAGATCCCCTTTATCAAATCTCACAGACGTTAACTTTGCGAGATACTATCTTCGCAAACGAGGAAAGAGTGGAAGAGGAATTTCCCAGCATTGTTGATGGTAATAAAGTGACAATTGAAATTAATAAAGTGGAAACATTATATATTTTTAAAGAGATATTTAGTTAGATTTCTATCAGCATATAAATTATAATTATGTATTTTTAATTTTAAATAAAAACAGAGGAGCACTTGACATTACAAGGTGTCGAAGAAACCGTACTGGATTATCCAGATGCAGTCACAACTGTTGCAGCTGCAATAGCAGTTGAAGCTAATTCCGAAACAGGAAGAAGTTTGCCAGTTTCTACAAAAAGGAAGCCAAATCCTAAAAAAAGAACAGTAGAGCTCGGTATGCGGAAATCCACTATCACATGCCCTACAACTGACGCTGCTTCGAGCAATCGTAAGACTCATACATGAACGAAATTAAATACAATAAATGTACAACGTTATTTGTGATATAATCTTTTATATAGGAAAAAACAGACAACGTATCAGTATGCAGCTTGAAAACGCGCGTGAACAATTCACCAACATGGCACAAAGTAACACCTCTGCATTGAAGGTAAAAAGAAATCCTATAAATAACTTGTTTACTTAATTATTTTTATAATATTTTTAGATATTAAAGAAAACTATATAGAAGAATATATACAAAATTTTATTGTATTCATATTCATATAAGTGAGATGTTTAAAGAATGTGAAATTACTTCTAGCTGTTACTTAAAAATCGAGTATTATTTATTGTAATTAAGAAAATTCAATTATTATCTTTAATTAGTAAACCCTTTTTCAAGAATATTATGAATGATATGTCCAATTATGAATAACAATAGAACACAATAACTGGAATTAAAAACCGAATAAAAAGAGAATAATGAAGTGGGATTACAGATAAATACAATATTATTAACGAGGTTTCAGTAAAATGATGAACATTTTTTGTTTTTAATTATAAAAATATAAAAACTTATTTCGTTGATGAAAACTATGCAAATTGTAAAGCTAAAAGTTTCCTGTTTAAGAATATTTTATATCGTCCATATTTTTGTCAAGGTACTTTATTTATACTTGTTTACATATGACCTGGATACCCAGACAGCACAAATCTTCAAAGGACGTTCTAAGAACGTTCTAAGCAGATTCATACATCCTAAGAATGTTCTAAGAATATTCTCTGAAGATTTTGTGCTATCTGGTATGTAGATAATATAAATTATGCCAAAGTGTCTCGTCCGGATGGATAAACTATGAAGTCATGCTCCGGCATCGCGTTGTTACGTCCTGATTCAGCGAACCCTAAAACTATTATATAAATAAGAGAAATCGAATTTATTTTTACTGATTATACGTCCGAATGCGCTCAGGCGTGTTACCACACGACCTATCTCACGAGTTATCACACGAACAATTTCCAGAAATTTTGATACCCCGAAAATACTAATAATCTTAACCCAATCCCTAGTTGGTTTCCCACGAACTTAGTTACTGATACCAGCATCACGACATCCTTTCTATAAATATCGATATTTACCCTTTAAGATAGATGCCACGTTTTTTTTATTTACAAAGATTTTCGAAACCCTTTTATTGTCACACTCATCATATCTCTTATCTTCTGGAATATTTCCCCCAAAACCCCACTCTCTCAACCGAGCTGACTTTTTGAGAAAAGTCGAAAACCTCGACCACTTCTCGCCAATCCGCCAGCCAGGACAGAAGCCTCTCTCCAGCACCCCTTCAGGGCCTTCTAATCATCTACCCAAGTTGTGGCGTAGACTCACCAGTATTTTTCAATTATTAATTTTGTGCAACGTCTTGGGCCCTTGTGAGAGATCCTGCCAGAACTAGCAGCCTGTCATTGGTGCGGAACCTGAGTTATCGTACATAGAGACGTTTCTCAGAATCAAATAATATCAGAGAAAATCCAGCAGTAAGTTATTTATATTTTCTTTCATCTGAGTGATCTCTTTTCTTTTCATTTTATTTCACCTCCTTTTCTATTCCCCTTGTCATTCCTCCTTAACTGTAAAATACAATTGCAGTGGCTCAAAATTACCTAATGCAAACGGACCTGACTACTGCAGGAGAGTACGAAAACCGCGAGGATTTAGAAATAGCTTTTATAAATTTTACATTACAAGATCATCCGGATTATATTGTCCGCCCTAACCAAAAATCCCGAGCTTATTGTTCTTTCCAGATTCCATAAATACAGAATACAGTTCTCTCCATAAATACAGTGCATTTTAAATGGTTAAAGTGTGAGTGTTAATTATAAAAAGTAGCTGTGGTTATAAAAATACATGCAAGGAACATATAGAAAAGCTTTCTGTAGAAAATGCGTTAATCTGTGAACGATATTGATGTATTTCTCATACGGGACATACATCCCGCACGACAGGTAGACATTAGAGGTGACGTGTCTCTTAATCACGGTGACGTGTAATTGATACTCCTGTTAATAATATCGGCGTCAGCCGAAAGTTACCGACATGGACGAAGAATATGCCGAGTATCGATGCTCGGCATGTAAGAAGGAAATAAAAAGTCAAGTCGTGACGTGCAAATCGTGCGTTAAATTATTTTTTCATCCGGGATGTGCAAGTAAACATAAGAGCTATGATCGAAACCAAGAATATGTGTCATGTCCTGGTCCATTTGAGAAGTTTGCAATAGAGAATGAAAAAAAAAATGGATTTGAAAACGGAAAGCAGCAGGGATAGACTGGGATCTACAGGATCCAAAGGATCCATAGAATCCATAGGAAGGATTGAAAACAGAGCAGCAGGTATGAGTGGGATCATGGATGTAAAAATGGACTGGCTCGTGCGAACCGTGAGAGAGATGAAAGATGAAGTGGCATGTAAAAGAGAAATAAAAATGATGATTAAGGAGATAGTGCAAGAGGAAGTGAAAACTATTAAACAAGAACTGGAAGATTTGCGAAAAGTGATACAGGGAGCCATGAATGGATCAACAGAAAGTGCTCGCAGCAGTTACAGTGAAGCTGCGAAGAAAAAGAAGGAAAATATCATAATCATCAAGCCGAAGATTCAGCAGGAAAGTGAGACCACTAAAAAAGTGATAAAAGAAAAGGTGGATATTAAGAAGATGTCAATGGGGATAACAAAATTAAGAAAAGGAAGAGAAGGAACGGTGATTCTAGGCTGTGAGACTGGAGAAGAAATGGTGAAATTAAAAGATACAGTGCAGACTAAGCTAGGTGAAAACTACAGTGTTACAGAATGACTGCAAATGAAACCAAAGATAAAAATTATCAATATCAGTGAAGAAGAAATGGAATTGGACGATGACGAACTAACACATACGAAATAACTACATACAGTCAAGAAGCAAAATAGTATGGATGGGTCGCATATAAGAATAGTAAAAAGAATATTGAAAAAGAAAAACAAAGATAATAGACAATCTAGAAGTAAAGGAAAAGAAGGTGGATCTGTAATAATCGTAGATGAAGGAACACATAACTTGATGTTAAAGAAAGAAAAATTAAATATAGGCTGGAGAAAATGTCCTATGTTCAATTACTACAGCGTTAAAAGATGTTTCAAATGATGGGGATTCTATCACATTGCGAAAAATTATACGCGAGATGAAATGTGTCATAAATGCGCAGGGAAACATAAAGCGACGGAATGCACAGCGACGAAAAACAAATGCGTAAATTGTGTGTTTAAAATAAAAACGTATAATCTAAAAATAAATGACGAACATGATGCCCTTAGTCCAGAGTGTCCTACATATAAGAGGGCTATCGAGGAGAAGAAAAGAAGAGCTGGATGGGATGTCAATAAGAAATAGCAACCACAGAAAGAAGAGGAACAAATAATGTATACAAACGCGCAAAGCTTAATGGCACATAAGGATGAGATACAACATCAGATTATGAAGAAGATAAATCCTGCAATCATAGCACTATCGGAAACTAGACTGATCGCTGAAATCGAAGATTGTGAAGTGAATATATTGGGTTACAGTATGATTAGAGGTGATGCTGAAAATAGGAATACAGGGGGAGTCGCGTTGTATGTAAGAGATGATATCAGCTACGAAGTAATCTTGTCAAAAAAGATTGAAGCAAACTGCTGGTGTGTTGCGTTAGAAATAAAATTAAAACTGTATAAAGGAGCATTAATGGTAGTATACCATTCACCGAGTGCGTCACATGGTGGGTTTATAAGATTTTTAGAGGAGATAGTAGAAAAATTAACGATAAAAGAAGAATGTATGATAGTATGAGACTTTAATATAGATTGTGTGACGAATTCTTTTTATACAAATAAGTTGTTAACGACTATGCAGAATTTAGGTATGAAACAGTATGTTGATAAACCAACGAGAATTACAAATAATAGTAAAACAATTATAGATCTAATTTTTGCTAATAAGGAAATAAATGTGCAAATAGATTATGAACCTAAGATAACGGACCACGCATGGCTAAAAATGGTGCTAAATGTGAGCAACAATGAAAATAAATATAAGGAATTTAGTGGCAGGAATTATAGTAGATTTAATATAGATGAATTTGTTAAGATAGTGGAAAGAAATCTAGGAAAGAAACAAGATATAGATATTAATGTAAGAGCAAGAAAACTTATCCATAGTATAGTGGATGCACTAGATGGATGCACCTTGGCACCCAAGAAAATTTTTAGAATTCCAAAAATATGGAAAGGAAAAAAATGGTATATGAATGAAATAGAAGAGTTAGCGACAGAAAGGGATAAGGCATATAGAAAAGCATTGCATGAAGATACAGAACAAAATTGGCAACACTTTAAAAATAAAAGAAATGCAGTAGTTAAATTAATTAAAACAAAAAAAAAAGAGTACTATGAAAACAAAATAGATCAAAATAAAGATAATCCGAACCGTATGTGGAAAACCTTAAAAGAAGTTATTAGAGGCGAGACGGTAGGTGCAAAGGCAATAGAAAATATAGACTTTGAAATATTAGATAATGTTACAGAGTGTAATATAGCTGATAAATTTAATTTGTATTATATACAGAGTATTAATGATATAATAAAATCTATAGGTAGTAATAATACACCAAGTACAAGTAGGAATAGAGATGGGCAAATGGTTCGCGAACCGCTCAATTGAACTAGTTCCCAAAAAAGAGCACTCAAGAATCGGTTCGCAAAAAAAGAATTGCGGTTCATTAGTTCAGCAGCACCTTCTATTGGAGTTTGCGATAATTATGTAGCAAAGTTCAGAGTCGACGGTAAATCTTTACTCCCTCCACTATGGTCGGTATTCATAGTCGAATCTTATATTTAAGACTGTCTTAAGTTTATCTTGAGATGATGTATGGATCATTTCATTGGTTACTGAATATCTGAAGATGAACTTAAGACGGTCTTAAATATAAGATCCGACTATGAATACTGGCCTATGATTTGTCAATTTTTTTATGGCTTACCATAGTTTAAGGCTTACCATAGTTAAGCGACTTTTGTAATGAGAATTTAAGATGTAATGCCTCGTCTATATAAAAATCGTAAAGTCGCGCGATATGCGACGCACGATATCCAATGAGAGTATAGCTTTTCCGGACCAGTACGTTCAT